GAACCTTGCATACTCCTTTTGGACCTAGCATGCAATAGTTCACAACTCTTCACTGATATTGGTTATTTATAAGTAGGCAGTACTTCTTACCAGCCCTTAAGTACAATCTACCCTGAAATACTGTCCATTAAAATACATTAATCTTTTTATATTGCTGAAACAGATAAAAAAAAAATATTATTTTTTCTCAGATATTTCTTTGCCAATTTTCAGAAATACAGAACCTTTCAGGTCCCATCACCCTCCAGCTATTTCTCAGGAAGTGAATGAAAACTCATTAGTTGGACTTAGCCTAATCCATGAATGGTAGCACTATTCTACAAGAGGGCAAACCAGTCTTGAAGATTGGTCTCTGCTTCCACCCTATCTGCTCAGCCCACCCAGGAAGACAGCCTTCCTCAAACCATGGAGCCCATGTGCAGCATGACTAACCTTTTTTGCTCCCCATTCCCTCTTGCTCCCCCTTCTTCCAGCAAAAAAATTGTCTACAGCAAATCTGATTTCATTTGGGAAAAATCCCTGCCTTAGGAAGTAATGCTAGAAGGGACTGTGAACATGCAGTTAAGACTCTAAAAAGACTGCTTAAGACAAAAGGGGAAAAAAAGATCACTTAAGTTCATTAAACAATCTTAAGTTTCAATTAAATTATCTTTAGGATAGCTGTTCCTTTCCCACTACAACTGAGAACTGCTCCTGCATCAAACCAATGCATTTTAAAGAAGCTGAAAGTCTTTTTCATTTAAAACGTTATTTTACATACTTTCTCTTCTTCTTCTGCTTCTCTCTCTTTCTGTTTCTTCTCTTCTTCTCTTCTTGTTTTTATTTGATCCACTATTTCATTTAATTTCTCCTGTACCGCTGAGACCAGAGTGAAGATCATTACCATTCCTAAATTTTCTTCTGCCTACAACACAAAGAAGGCAACTTCAAACAGAAGAACCTGAATGCATAAACATGTTTTTAGAAAGCAGGATGTGCAAATGCAGAGGGCACAGCTGACATATTCTGCACCAGTCTCAAAAGCTCGCTGTAAAATTCAAATTCAACTGGCCAGTTAATCCAGTTAGTTATCCCCAAATGGGTATGCAGCACAACACAAAGATGAATGACTGTGTTCAGGTTATTAACAAATTATAGACATCTTCTGAAAGGCTTTTTCATGAATAAAACAAAGCCGACAGTAGAAACACAACTCTAAAATTTGCATATCATAAATCATAAGAGACAAGTCACTCAGAACCTTTCTTCTCCTGGAACAGTTTATTCCTTAATTCTATTACATGCTCCTTTGAAGTGAGACATTTTCCCAGGAAAATAAAAAAAACCATCAGCTGATAGAAGGAAGGTTATATGAAGTAAATTCAAAATTTAAAAAAATGCCCACTAAACATATTATGGCAATTTTAAGGCAGTGAAGACTTGTCAGAAATTCCTGAAACCAAAGAAGTGCCTCCTTCCTTCCTTCCTTCATGAAGGTTTGATGATTTCCTGATCCCAAAGGTTGAGGAGATCCACCCCCAAACAGTTATGTTATCCAAGAGAATCAAGAATCAATGTGGCATCTTTTAGTATCTCCAAATGAAACTGAGGCAGCTTATTTTCACAAATACTACATATATATATACATACACACACAGAGTTAGACAAATTCACCTTAAGCTAGAAGTGGAAAAGAGGGGGAGCCGTCATGCACTTCCATTTCATTACTCTCTATTATTGCACACACTGAATTAGCCCTGTATCTTACCTCGGTGGTGTCATTCACCAAATTCAAACTTCAAAGTAAGTCCCAATATTAGGGAACAGGTTTCAGATCAGTAGCACATACCTCCAAAAACAACTGATTTGAGAGAGAAATTCCAGCCAAAGTGTGCAGTTGCATCAAGCTGTACCAAGATATTCCATTTTCCTTACCTGCTGCTCTAGCAGTTTTATTATGTCCATGACATCATTATCATCAAGATTCTCCTGTGAGACAATTTCATACAGCGGAGTTTCATCAGGGTATTTTTCTCTATAGGTAAATTTAAGGGTTGTCTGGACAGCTACAAGGTAAAGAAACACGTGTTCTTATGGTGATAATTCTGTTTAGCTTTAATTGTATGTTTTCCTACTGCATTAACATACTAACGATTATAGAATACAAAATATTCCTGGCTTTAAGGAACAGTCTTCTTACACAGATGTTAAAACAATATGAACAGATTTAAACATAACCCAAGAGTTCAAAGAAATTAAGATGATAAAGTTTACACTTGCACAAACTATTAAAACCTACTCATGTCTGAAAGGTCTTTAGGAAGACTGAAAAACCTTCTGTGGTATGACAGGTACTAGAGCAGTAATTTCCCTCATATTCTACTTAAAGCTGGAAAATAGCCAGTGTTGTAGTAACTAGACAAAATCTCAGCATACTAACACTTCAGATTCTGTGTGCCTAGTTGAAGTATCAACCTCTGTGTTGGGTTCCAGGGCTCCACACTGTGGATAAACATCATATGTCCAGCAGAAGTTATTAATCAGAGGACTGCCCAAGAAAAATGCATTCAATCTGAAGCTGCCCAGAACCAGGGTAACATGGAAATAAGGCAAAAGAGAATCAAGTTCCTTTTAGACATCCTCCCAGAATACCAGGGAGAAGTTTTCCTTTAGTTCCAGACTCACAGTTCTTGGCAGCACAGCAGTCTGTTCAACATGGACACCTGCTCTAAGCAGGACTTACTCCTTTAAAACTAAGTAACACAGAACCAGTTTATTCCTTCTGTTATAGTATCCAGAATAGCAGCTTTCTGATTTCTTGGAGTAAGGCTTGCTTACAACATGCCCACGCAATTGTTGGTAGTTAACAAATACACTGGGACTTGGGACCCACAGCCTTCTGCTCTGGAACTGTTCCTTAATGGCTGCACATTCAAAGCATACAGACTCAACTCTCCCACATAGCTGGCACACACACAGTTGCCAGAAAAAAAATCCCCTCATAACACGTCTGTAAGTCACTGCAAAGATAGTGGAGCCCATACCTTTTGAAACTACGCTACAAAGCCTTTGAGATTCAGCAGAAAGTAGCCCTGCAGTGAGAGCATAACATTTCTGCAAACTAAACAAGGATCACCTAAATCCTTGAACTAAAGAATTGTTAAGGAATGTCTGCTGTATCAGGCCTCTATAAGGATCTAAGAGGAGGTATACATAGCTATTGGTGATAGAATTAAACATATATAGGAGAAGTTTCTGAGTAAGACATGATCAACTTACTTTCATCATTTTCTCCAGCTTCAGATGTCACAGTGATTGTGAAAGTTGTTGGCTTTTCTGACAATACTGTTCAAAGGAAAAAAACAAGAGTCAGGGAGAGTCATTAAATCAATTACTGCTTCACAGCACTAAAACTGAACTTCTCAATGACTTATGAAGAAAGCAAGCTCTTGATACAGTGTTAAGGGCCTTTTTAACTTATTAATGTAATGCTTTTCAATTAACAGCTATATTTCATATGATGTGATGCCTCAAGTGCTCTTTGAATGAGACCATATACAACATCAAATGATACCAAAGGGTTTCACTTTTGGAAAACTTTCTCTTCTGGAAGTTTCACTGTTCCAGAAAGTGCAAATCAAATAAAACAACTTCTGGTAGTGCACTGACTGCATGCAGAAAGCTACCAAAGCTAATTTGCTTTACTGCACTAAATGAATCTGATGAGCATCCAGTGCACTCTTGACCCCAGACTATTTTTACAGTATGCCCGCACCTATATTTAAAACAGCCTAATGCAAGAAATGCCACTAACCAAGCAGCGTACTAGAATGGAAGTGTGTGAATCAGCAGCTAGAAGACAGACAACACAACACAGCAAGAGCTGCGACCTGTGTTTCACAGGCTAAAAGCCTCCTTGTACAATTGTGGGTAGCAGATCACATCCTCATGTAAGGACTGCTCTGCACCATTGTAATAACCTATGCCCAAATTAGTGTACGTGCTCTCGAAGTATCAACTGAATTTTGCCTAATTGCTGATGCACAACTACAGTCTTTATTCTTCTCTTGGGCATAAAAGCATTATATGAGTGAACATTAACTGAGTACACAACAGAGTAGAGGCTGTATGAAAGAATATGACTATCAATATCAGATATCCAGCATCCCCAGTTACCAGAGACCAATTCATATACCTTTAAGTAATCTTTAACATAACACCGAAGACCTGAAAATATTTTCAGATTGCAGCAACAGGCAACTGTACTGGGCAAATGTTTGTGTGGTGAAGTTACTGCCAAGTAAAATGCTGTGGAACTCTAGCCAGAGTAGACACTGTGCAGGAATGAATCAGAAAATGCCCCCGATTTTTCCATTGTAAATATTCTTTGGATATGGAATGCCAAAAATCACGTTGGATTAGCCGGCATGGTAGATACTTTTGATTGTTTGAAAGTAAATTGATAATCCTGAAAAACTGATGAACCAATGTACCCACAACATGAAAGTTTCAGCAATATAACATGCTGCACCAGGGAATTAAAGTCTGCCTTTTTTTCACCTGCAATGGAGTAAGGCACTTAGTAGTGGCTATACATTTACGGAGGAAACAGCATCTTTAGGCACCTCAAAACACCCCGTGCCGGGTGTTTTTCCGGAAAGGCAAACCGGTCGGCACACAAACCAACACCGCGATTCCCACCTAGGGCCGCATCTTTCGAAAGGCTTTTCCGAAGAGCATCCTTCCAGCACAGGGGACCGGGCTGGCTGCTGTGCCACAGCGCTAAACGCGGCAGGGGCAGCGCCCACCGACCGGCCCACAGGGGCCATCAAGCGCTTCGCTTTTCCCGGCCGGGGAAAGCGAACCAACATCCCGAGCACCCTCCCAAGCCGCCCGGCTCGGAACCCCCGCGGGACCCNCCTGCGTTGTCCCGGCCCGTCCCGGCCCTTCCTAGCATGCCTCGCGCTCGCGATAGGCGGGGATGCCGCCGCTGGCTGGGCAGGGCAGGGCCGGGCCGGGCCGGGCTGCAGCAGGGAGCCACGGAGGAGCGAGCGAGCGAGGCCGAGCTGATCCGCGGCCGCCTTCGCAATTGCGGTGCTCGCTGCTCAGTCAGTGCCAGCTCTCGCTGCCTGGCGCTCAGCTCCGGGGCCTGCAGGAGGGATCCTGCTGGCATGGCCGCGCTGCCTCCCCGCCCCTGGCGGAGCTGGGGTCCTCACGCCCTGTGTCACACAGACTCGTGATGGTACGGTTCGCTCGTGGGTGTTTTCCTGTGAAAATTTACAGGGATCAGCAAACTGAAGGGGATTCAAACCCGATGCTCTAGGTATTGCGTAAAGCAGCTGAATGCCATTTCTGCCAGAAATTGGAAGTTTAGTTGATGCAGCTGGTGGTTTGCAGCTTGAAGTTAAACAGCAGCCGCAAACGTCCCGGTAAATGTTCACCGTGATTCCAGGAGTCCCATCACAGCGGTGGCATCACCGTGATGTGTGTGCAGAATAGGAGTCGCCAGGGCTGACGGTATTGGGAACTGCTCTGCTTCGAGGTTTCCTGCCAGGATGAATTTAAGGCTGTCGAGGGTTAAACAGTAGCAGACCCTGATGGGTACGTGGGACACAGAGCAGTTTTAAGGTGTATCACCTTCCTGGCCCCAGGGCTGGCAGTTTTCCCACATACACGTTTTATAAGCCCAGGGTTTCCAGAAAATCTTTACTATGGACATAAAGAGAATAATTTTCAAATTTTCAGTTTCAATTCAGACTGGCATTCAAAGTGGATTCTTGGGTAAGATGGCTCATTGTAGCAGGCACAGTTTATTCAACCTTACCAACTCAGATTTGTCTGTAATCATGAATTAATTTGAAAGCTGTGCCTTTACTACCAATCCGTGGCATATTTCAAAGACCCGAGGAGTAAAGGGAAATACACCAAATCACTTAAAATACTACAGCTGTAGTACTCTGGATTAATATGTGCTAACAAAATGATGGTCTGTTAGTATTTTGGCAGGCTAACTTCACAGTGACAGATAGTATTTCCATTCAGTATTTTAAATTACATACTGAAAAATAATGGGAAAATAGTATTATTTCATATATAAATAATGAAAAAAGACAGGGCAAATAGTAATCAGGACAAAATCAGAAATCATGAAGCCTTATTTAAAAATTATCTGAGAAAGAAAAAAATAATTTTACAGCTTACTCTTAACTTTATAGTAGTACTGTAAAACAATACAAGTGGAAAGAATTCACATGGACTAAAGACAGCAGGTTTTTATCATTAGGATCCAGACACCAGCACAGGGGTTTTCTATCAAAACCTTCAGATACACAAATCAGTTGCATGGGTTCCAGATTACAGTGTTCCATCTTAAACAAAAGTAATATTTTAAAAATTAAATCAGAAGTTGTGTTTACTACCAGACATACTTTGTTTCCTAAGGAGTTCACATAAACAGTGCAGTTCCATTACCTTTTTTAGGTTTGCATGGCCAGATTTTGGTAGCAGGAGCACTACAGGGGTGCTCCTGTGAGAAGCTGCTAGAAGCTTTCTCTGTGTCCAACAGAGCTGATGCCAGCCAGCTCCAAGATGGACCCACCCATGGCCCAGGCTGAGCACCATCAGCAGCGGTGGCAGCACCTCTGGGATAACATTTAAAAAGGGAAAAAAAGACCCTGAGCAACAGAAACTGCAGCCAGAGAGAGGAGTGAGAGGAACAGCTCTGCAGACACCAAGCTCAGTCAGGAAGGAGGGGAAGCAGGCACTAGAGGCCCTGGAACAGAGATTTTCCTGCAACCTGTGGTACAAACCATGGTGAGGCAGCTGTGCCCTGCAGCCCCTGGAGTAACTCACACCAGAGCAGGTGGGTGCCTGTGGGAGGCTGTGACCCCACTAGGGGCCTATGCTGGAGAAGACTCTTGGCAAGACCTGTGGAGAGAGGAACCCACACTGCAAAAGGCTTGCTGGCAGCATCTGTGACCCTGGAGGGGACCTCCCCTGGAACAGGTCGTTCTTGAAGGGCTGCACCCTGTGGAAAGGACCCACACTGGAGCAGTTCATGAACAACTGCAGCTCCTGTAAAGGACCAGCACTGGAGAAATCGGTGGAGGACTGTCCCCTGGGAGGAAGTACCCATGATGGAGCAGGGGCAGAGCATGAGGAGCCCTCCCTCCAGTGGGGAAGGAGCAGCAGAGACATTATGTGATGAACTGACTGCAACCCCCATTCATTCACACCCCCTGCACCCCTGGAGGGGAGGAGGTATAAAATTTGTGAGTGGAATTGAGCTTAGGAAGAAGGAAGGTGGTGAGGGAAGGTACTTTAAGATTTAGGTTTAGTTCTCATTATCCCACTCTGATTTCATTGCTAATAAAATAAACTAATTTCTCCAAGCGGAGTCTGTTTTGCCCTTGACAGTAATTGCTGAGTAATCTCTCCTTGTCCTTATCTTAACCCATGAGCCTTTCCTTACAATCTTTCTCCCCTATCCAGCTGAGGAGAGAAGTGACAAAGCAGTTCTGGCTCCTGCATTTTCTAGTAATATGTACCAAATAATTAGATTTTTCCACTTCAAGGCCCTGAGATCATTTCTGAGTAGTAGATAGTATCCTATAGCATAGTAGATGGCTTTGGAGCCCAGATGTATATGTGTACATGTCAAGGCAGTACATCAAGCATTAAAAAAATTATGGCACACATTTCCCTCCCCCTTAGAGTTAGAAACATCTACACAGGGGGTTAGAGAGGAGATGAGTAATATCACATCATACCAAACTGACTTAACACAAAAACATCATTAAGCCTTCTTTCACAAAATTCAGTAGTTTTTAATGATAGTAATATTCATGGGTCCAGTGTATGTATAAATTACAAGTTTACAGAGGCAAAGCAAACCCTATTGCTCAGGGTGAGATTTCTTTTCCCATCCTCATTTGCTATTTGTACAGTAGGCAAGCGCACACACACCCCTTGGAGATTCTGAAGTATTTCCAAATAGGAGACTGCCCTTGCTATTGCTTTCATCCAGAATACATTTCAACACAGTTTGCCATATATCAAGTGTTTGTTCATACAGCTGCTATGTGTTACACACCTCCACCATGTTCCTCAGTGGGGATTTTATCAGAATTGAAAGTTCTCACATCATATCTAAACTCAGACTTTGATGGTAAAATTCCCCATATAGTTCCTACATGCTATTGCAGCCCCAGACTTAACTAGTAGTTAGCTCAGTGGAGATTGCTTGTATTATGCCAAAAAATAGTGGAAGAGGAGAAATAAGTCACTTCTGCTAGGTGTCACTAAGGAAAAGCTGGGTAGCTGCTCTTGGTCTATACAGAATGGACCAATTCATAGGATCCAATCAAGGTCTACCTTTTAAAGATCCTTTTTATGAAAAGAAAATAAAACAGCACTTGTAAATAACTTTCTCAGTATGTACTTGTCCTTTCAGCAAAACTATTAGAAAGCAGAGCGCTGAAGCTCGAAATAGCCTAAACCCTAATCTAGACATTGATCACCACATCTCACAGGAGTCAAAATGCCATCAGTAAAGGCAGTCAGGAATTTCTAAAGCACTACGTTACCAAGATGCACTTGCTCACATAATTTATACATCAATGTAATACTGTATTGGGAAGTTCCAGCACAGTTCAAGTCTGATATAGAGCTAGACAGGTTTTTTCTGCAAAGTACTGTGCAGGCTTGGATCTTCAAAGCTGTGTTATGATCCCAGGGTCTTCATCAATCCTCAAATACTTTCCACTTGCACGCTCCTTGAGTGCCCAGTCATGGAGGAGGCTGTAATCGTAGTGCTCCTCATCCACTCGCCTCAGAAAGGCCAGTCCAGAAATGGCCTGCCACTCCTTGAGAGATGGGATACGAATTTCCTTCACATTCTCACTTCCTGGGACAAAGCCAAAGAACTTCCTTACATTCTGCATGGCATAGAGCCTCGAGTGCTGCTCTGTTGCCTCATCAAAGAGCTCCTGCTCGTTGTGGACATAGCTGCTCCAGTATCTGAAATGCAGAAAGCTGAGCGGGGAGAAACAGCTTGCCAGGCAGTAAGAAAGGAACACAGTGATAACTACCACAGCAATCAGAAGCCAGCCAGCCACCTTACCGCAAAAAAGAACAAAACAAAACAGGACTGTTAGAGCTGAAAATACAATAACTTTTGAGCACCAGAAAATTTGTAAGATTATCTTTACTTGCTTTTCCTAAATAACAGCATTAACAAGATATATTCCTGGAAAGCATCTGTTACCACCAAACCCAGTCCATGCCTACTGGAGGCAGCCATGTAGCAAAATCACTTGTTCATTTCGTGTTCAAGAAATTTCTGTTGTGCAGTTTTAAGAACATTGCTTTCTCAGCTATTATTGTTATAAGATAGGCCACCCAGGTCCTAGACTATACTAGCTTATAGCCTGTTTAAAAACAGTTTTCTCTGAAGTGACAACTTAATGCTTCCCCTGTTATTTACCCAGCATGGAAACTTTTAGAATTGAATCTGATCTAAAACCCAAGATTTTACATGGGTTCATGTGAAGCTCTCACAGCCAGGGCCTCTTAGTCATGTTTCTTCTGCTTTAATGGAGAAACTTCATACCCTCCCTAGCTCTTGAACTTCCATTTGTCTTACTTGATATTACTTTTCAGCATACTACAAAAAGAAGAATATATCCTTAGGTAGCAGGTGACAAATGGGACAAGCAGGCATAGTAATTTATATACCTAAAGTTCAGTTCCACTTAAAAGAATAGGCTTCAAAACACACAGATTTAGCACTCAAGACAGGGGACACTGATCTTGTTTTATCCTAAAGCTTTGCCTGCTGAATTAGCTTCACCTCTCATCATCAGCTTTACAGGCGACAGGAGTTACTCACTTGTGACTGGTATCGGAGGAGCAGAATCACTTCATCTCTTGCCCGGGTCAGCTCTGGAGGAACCAGATGACTGCAGGGAAATGCAGCCAGTATCCTGCTGCGCTCACTAGCGGTGACATTGGGAGCAGCTTCATAGTAATACACAGGGACGTACTCGCTCACAGCACAGATATAATATGAGCCGTTTATCAGGGTGACTGCAAGCCACGTCACTGGAGCAACCAGCGCCCTCCCAGTGATGCTGCACAAGACAAAGCAGACCAACTTGCATTTCAGCAACCGGTTTGATGAGGTCACCTTCTCAAAATGAGGCCTTTTGCCCATAACCAGCCTCCAAGTCTGGTTGTTCAGGGCGTAGCCAACAATCAGAAGGATCAGTGCAGGCACTCCTAAGAAAGCCAGCCCATAGATAAGGTTCTGTCCAACATGACAGGGACAGTTGAATGTGAAAAAAGAGAAAAGTTGTTGCCCACCAATTGTCAATATTGCAATTATTGCATTGGCAATAACAACCTCTTTGCCTTTTAGAAAAGTTAGCCACTTTGGAAGGAAAGTCATTTTAGATCCTACTCTTTACCAGATTTTTTTGATTTAAGTCAGCACTAGCTTTTAGTTATATTTAACTAGTGTTAATAGCAGACCAGAATAAACACCAACAGCTTGAGAACACCACCAAACAACAACAAAAAATCCCTGCTAGTCTTTCTCCTCCCACTGAAGACATCCACTAATGTGTTTTAATTGATTCAGTAATTTATCTCAGCTGTTCTAAATTGAGCTTTTAGGCTGTTGTGAGCTCTGCCAGCCCCTTGCTAATTGTCTGAAATTAACAATAAATTCCCCCTACGTTTTGGATGACGTGCAGTTCTATCAAACTGATGGGTAACCTGTCAGGGTTAGTTGCCAAGCTGTTTGCTAATCAACAGTAATTAACAGAAACATGGCATGAAACTAGGAAAAAAAGAAAAAGGAGCCTTCCAGCTATTCTTCATAAAAGATTATCCAAGCAAATCCTTGGCAAATGGACTGGTTTAAAAAAAATGAATGCCTCCACTTTAAAATAAACTTATAAAATATTCCATAAGTTGCACAATGTGGAATTGGAATCCCAGTGCTGTTTGCATTTGATGTCAGTTATGCAGCACTTCATTGTCTGAACACTGGAGTCTGAGAAGTAGTTAGCTGCTGAATCATGAGGATTTTAGTATTTCACCTGTAGGTGGCAAGAAGCTGCCATGTCTCTTTTCCTGACAGTGCTGAAAGTTTCCTTTGGAAAGTCGGTTAGGGTTTTTTGTTTGTGGTTTTTCTTCGGTGGGGGGGCTTGTTTGTGGTTTTTTTTTTTTCAATTAAGCATTTCCATAGCTGTCTTCTGGATATTAGGATATATGACCTGGGCTCTGAGCATCTCTTACAAATCAAGCCTTAAGCAGGGGTCTGAAAAAATTGAAAACATTTCACTCATTATGATTTTGTCTGGATCACACTTTTCCTATGGTCATGGTATGCAGTGGTTCTATGGATTGCATTACCTAGACTGATCTGAATATGCAAATACTTATGTTTAAGTACTGGAAAGTCTGACAGTTTGTCATATAAACATCCTTACCAATAAAAAAAAAAAAAGAAAAACTTAGCCAGAAAGTTTACGGGCAAATTTGCCTTCCCATTACAGATGTCTATCTCCAGCATGTGTGGACTTGGTTGTGTGATATAAGAGTGTCTGCGTAGCCTCTTCTCTCCCCTTGCAGAGAGGGTTGCTAGTAACAAATTTGATCTCAAGCAGTGGTTTTAGTACCCATGGTGTCTGCTTGGATGGCAGAGACACTCTCTTAGCTGTTGTACACAGGGATGGCAAGTCATACATGCCTTGACTGTTCGCTGGGCAGGACCCTGTTCCTGCAGTGCACTGTTAGGATGGATGCCTGCTTGTCTCATCCCCAGTCACTGTCTGAGAAAGAGATCCTTGCTGGTAACTGGCTCTCAAACAATGACATGCTGTTACACAAAATTAAAAACAGTACAGAAGCATGCTAAAGCATCCAGCAGCATTTTGTCACAGGTTTTTTGGAACTTCTTCTTAGTTGTTTGGACAGAATAATAGCACAATGAAATCCCCAAGCTGTCTGAATATTGCCATTTTAAACCTTCATTTTCTTTCAGTGTCACATGATGTCCAGTAACTTTTTTTGGTACAAGTGACATTATATTTAAAAAAAAAAATCAGTGAAATAAACCTATCAGGCTATTACAAAATTATTTAATAAAAGTCTTCCATTATGCCTCAGTTCATTTTAAAATCACTGATTGATTCCTTCTGAGATTTCTTTTGGAACCTGTGTCTTATTTTGTTTATAAGGGAGGAAGGCTCTCCCAAGCATCCCTTGTTTACTCAAGAAACACATTAGATGTGAAACTGAAGTGGTACCCAACACTGAAATATTAATAGTCAGCCTAAGGCTGTTGAATGAGGCAATTTATACAATCAATACAGCAACTTTGTACTTTTGCATTTTCATTCTTTGGCATTTGCTTTCATGCTCTGCTGTAAATGATCCTGCTGGGTCATCCTATTATGGAACAAATTACAGGGTTGGATCCAATTAAGATCTTGGGTGGCACATCAAACCTTTAAGTACTTGCCTTTGCAGAGGAACCCAGGGTCCTGAGATAGACATTTAGGCTCTTCATCCAATTCCCAGGAAGGGCTAGAACTGGATACAATCCGAAATACCACTATCTGAAGTGACAGCTGGCTGGCCTGTGAGGCAAAAAGATGCTTATAGCCGACATCTGAGGCAAATAGGATCCATGAACAAACCTTAGTCATGGTTTTGCTTTTCATATTGCAGGGCTCTGTCAGCCTGAAGTCACTGCCAATAACCTCACTTATGAGAAAGAGAGATTTTTATATTGTTTTTAAGAAGTCAGAATCATTTGTCATTTCTTTTTAAACATGGTTACTGGAATACAGATTTCACCTTCCCATACACAGCAAACAGTTTTTATTCTCCTTTTTATTGAAACAAAACTATCATGGCAGAATAGAGAGATTGGTTTCAGCTCCCTTCTCCACCTGATCTAGTAAAAACTCATTCACTCATCTCTTTCTTCCTAAGCTATTATTATTAGTAATGAGATGTGACTGTGTTGCCAAGAAGCTGTGTTCTCCGGCTTTCCTGCCATAGTTCCACCAGCTGAGTTTAGTTTTGCCACAGAGAGGATTTTTATATTCATTGAAACAAAAAAAGACCAGGATTTTGTTGTCTAATGGCCAGGGATGGGTAGGGAGTAAGAGGGAAGTGATCTTCTATTTTCCATCTGAAGTTTGGAGGCGGTGACTGAATCCTGGTCTCTCTGGTCCTGCACACGTGTTTTCATCAGTTAGCAGTTGAAAGGCCAGTGTTCTGTGGCCTCTCTACCTGCATTTTGAGTTCTATTTTGCATGGATGTTGAGCCCACCTGTGCATTTTAGAAAGCATGGTATGAAAGTACCTGCATGACAGATTTCCTGTGGGAGTAGAGGGGACCACTGCCCATGTCCTGTGATCTGCCAGGTGACAGTCTGGATTCAGGCTGCCAAGTCATTTTCATGGTCTCTTTGGCCTTTGGAGAAGTTCCTGTCCCCATGACCAGTACAAACACTGAAAAAAAAAATTATAAGCTTTATGTTAAGGGAAGACTAGAAGTCTGTTAATGATTTTTTAAAAACTTACATAATTTCACTTCAGAATTCAGCTGTGCTTTATAGGCAAATTTATGAGATTTTAGGTTTCTGCAGAGAGCAGAAAGGAGGCACTCAAATCTCAAAACACCCTCTTGAGAAACATAACCTAACCAAGGAAGTTTCAGCAGGTCAAACTGAGAATGCTTCCTGGACAGGGCACTACAGCAAAGTGACAGCAATAGCATTGCTTTATTTGGAAACATGGTCAGAGCAGCAGCCACACTGGACTTTTAGTAAAAGCACTCATGTGTGATATGAGAAACCTGTGTTCAACTTCTTTTCTTCACATAGCTTCAAACCCTTAACACCTACCTTCTTCATTTGAAAGAATTCTATTTTCTATTACAGAACATTTAATACAAGATCTATCCATCTAGAAATTGCAAAGCAAATAAAAGCTTGACCCTGTATTTTACTAATTTGGACACTCACCTTTTGTGGTTAATGCATTCTTGTTTTGGCTCAAATAATTTGTTCACTTTTTTTTTTTTTTTAAGCTTTCTACTTAGACAATATCTAATTTATTATTTACTTCTCTGTTGCACTTATCATGTACTTATCTACAGTGTCAGCTTTCCCATAATAGCCAGTCCATGGCAAGTGGCAGGGTGCTGGTGCACACTTTTATTTGTGCTTTTGATCTTTGGGATATATTTTGTATATATATTTTGTATATATAAAATATATCTTGGGATATATTTTGTGATTGGTTTTTTGTTTTTTAGTTTGATGGGAATGAAGAGGACTGATGTAGTCTAATGCTCAAGCACGGTGAAGACTGACCTTGTGGCAGAAGGCTAAATTTCTCTCCTGAATAACAGGACAGAAAGGGAGGTGGAGAGTGATTCTAACTTTCTCACTATTCCAGTTGCCTTGGATTACTTCTAAGAAGCATATGCTCAGGATTAAAACTGGTGCCAGATGTGTGCCTCCCTCTACTCTTTTCACAGGGCTACAAGACAGTGCACTAAGGACTTGTTTCCCTCACTGGAGCCATTGTTTATTTGGACTCACCATTTCAGCTTCATTTTCACAAAAATGTGCAAACCTTTTGAAATGTAGTACATTTTACTCAATACATAGCAATAGATGTGTGAATTTACTTGTGTACACATGGGCATGTACCTATTTTCCAAAGGATGTTGACATGTCCCTGCCATACATTGCACTGTCTGGTGCACAGAATTCCCTCGTGATTATGGTATTAATAATGCAGGCTGAAGTAATTAATCCATGTATATTTTGAACCGGATAAATAAAATTGAGCTCATTTATAAGTAGTCTTAAGTGCTTTGTGGTGGGTTCATTGAAGTTAAATTATGCTAGTTATAATCTTTTACAGGTTGCTGAGGGTTTGTTTTTGTTTTTTCTTAACGTAATGCAGTACACTTTCTTGTGGAATATGGGATTACTCTTGCAATGTGAATCATATTTGGTGCTTGTCACCAGTTGGAGACAGTCAGAGAAACAAACCCATCTCAGACTCAATTTAGAAGTGAAAGTAACTATCTAGAGAATTGTAATGCCTGACTTTTAAAATTAGTTTAAATTTAAATATGAGAAATACCTACAATAGTTTCACTTTTAAAATGGAATCAGGTTTTCCAGGGTCAGAAAAGCACCTGAAAAAAAAAAACCAGAAGAGGCTATTACACTGTAAAATTCTCAATGCAAGTTCATTCTGTGAAAAATAAAAGCAGTTAGAATTGAGCTTTACACAGAAAAAGCTGAAAATCTTTTTATCTATTTTATTTTTCCTTGTTGAATTGTGTCATAACTTTAAACTACCATTTTTTAAAGTAAACTAATCTTTCTTATCCCAAATTAATTGCATCTGAATGCTTTCTGTGTGTCTGTAGTAGTAAATACCTGTAATTTTAATCTAGTACTGGATCTATTGGTTAACAAATTTAATAACAGCATGGCATTCAGAGGAGGCCGTAGGTTTTAACTTCCTTTCCTGAGAGGACTTAGTTGGAATGTATGTGCAGGTAAGTCCTATAAGAAATGACAACTACCTGATTAATTTCTAAATTCACCAGTGACCATGGTCGAAGTTCATTGCAAATCAAAGACACCATGTAGGCCAAATTTACCACAGGGGAAAACAGATGAACTGAGCCTGGATGTTCATTGCAAGGATATTAAGAGATAGGGGCTATAACAGGTTAACAATGATAGAATTCCCCCTAGAAACATTGTTAGTCAAAGGGCCATTTGCACAAGCTGGCAGCTGTACAGGTACAGAATTTATTCCCCTGGGAAGCTGAGTTTTCTCAATCTACCCTGGCAACTTTACATAAACATGGTGGTAGCAGTGCCTTAAAAGCCACACTTCCCCAGCTTAGGCAGACATTAACTCACCAGACTACAGCAGTCAGAGTAGGCAGAAGACTGTAGCTTCTTTAGATTGAAAATAATCAATTTTTATTTCCCTCATACAGCGGTATCTTGCAATTGTGTTTTTATTCTTCAGAGCGTAAGTTTTTGTTAGCTCTCCAAACACCAAAGTCTGATCCAAACAAAGGAATAAATTTACTGTCCCTAAAAATGTAAGACCTGTCCTGTTTGACATGTCTATTAGCTGTGTTTGTGATTACAAACCGTTCCTATGGACAGAGCGATTATTTATGTAGCGGACAGTGGCAGATCTGTTGCCAGTCAAATTCCTCCCAAAGGGCTCAGTGCACGCAGGGAATAGGAGGAGCATCAGCAGCATTACAGACTGCAACAAACACATCTCATGCAAAAGACAGAAGAGCACAGAGGAGAAAAGAGAAAGAGGATTGAGAGAAAACTATGCTGCTTGAGGAAGAAAAGATATAAACTGACAATCAAACACATCAGGAGTTACACAAGCAACATGTCTCGGTCACCAGGAAGAAAGCAGGAGAACCACAAAATAGTAAGATATTTTTTAGATGTGTTATTAAAATTGTGCATGGAGTAAGAATAACATTTTATTGATGCATTTTATACACTCCTGTTTCTGAACAATCTGAAAGTACTGAAAGGATAGGGATAAGAATGGTGGTACAAGAGCAGAGCTACTAGCAGCATTTATGGCTATTATTCCTAATGCTGGGATTCTGTACAGGAGTGGGAAAGAGGGGCACAGAGTAAGTGCTTCAGGTGTTTATAGTCTAAGATATAAATGCCAGGTAAATTTATCTGCCTCTGTGGTTACATACTCATTCAATGAAACACAGAGAGAAGGAGATCTCTTCTCTATGTTTGGGTGGTTTGATTCCACACAAACCTTTCTTCAGTTTAGAGTTTAGAGTCTTAGGGATTTCTGTATGGTGAATGGTGATTTTTGACAGGAACTGGGCAGTGAAAAAATTCCAGAAGGCTTTAAGACAATGTTGTTTCAATTTCTGAAAAGAGGACAGTGGTCTCCACTGGAAAATAAATAATAAAATGATAAATTGTATTGCACTGATATATTATGCTTAAGTTTCTCTGAGATAATTTTCTTGTTTCAACAGACTTTTTGCTGAACAATAATAATACAGGACCTGTATGACATCCATTTACTCCATTGAAAACTAGTTACTGAGAATTTGACCAAGGGTACAATATAATTTTAAACAGGAGTTATCACTAAAATAAGTTTGGAAAATGGTTCTGCTTAAGATTTTGGACACTAACTTGCTAAAACAGCAACACTGATTAAACTCCAAACTTATGATGCAGAGGAAGTAGGAAGAAATCTTTCCACCAAGCTGTTCTTAGTTTGCTAGTGTGATTTGTTCTATTGTTTTTATTGGTATTCACTATTATTTTTCCACAGGCTAGAGACAAAAAACCAGCTCTGGCCTGACCACATCCCACAGGGCTGTAGAACTTCCTTTAATTAATTCCTGTCCAAGAAATTAAGTAAGAGCCAACCTAATCTCACACTTAAAGGCCAGCTTCTACTTCTGCTAAACACAGACAGTTCTGCAGTGCATGGACATGATCTGACAGGGCAGGCAGAGAAGGAAACTTTCCTCCAAACTGTTGCACAGCTGAAGAACCCACAGTAGTACAGTTGTGCTGAATTATAATTTTTTTTTCATTATTCTGAGCTAAATTTTTGTCTACTTTTTACTTTTTTGGAGAAAGGAGGTAATGATTTGAATCAGATCAACCCTACTTTTGTGAACTGTTGTGCCTACTGCCATAGGATTAATAGCTCATTGCCTCTTTTTCTGTGGCAGTTTTTTATTATTCTTGGATGGAACTCGACAGCATTTGTCAATCCAGCATACATACACTCAAGATTCAAGAATTACTGATGATAGTAACTCTGAGTATATCAAAAAATGGTACTTCTAACAAGCAAAATCCTTTACAAACTCAAGTGAGGGTCAATATAGATTCTGTCACACTTGAAATGTTGATTTCAGTGATTATGCATCCATGGACAAAAGTTTCTTTATTAATTTAAATGTTGTTTTTGCTTGCTTTTAATGAGCAGCAGCTCAAAAACATAGAAAAGTTGGATTATAGTTAGCTTAATTTTCGATTTCCATGTTTTCTGACAGAGCAGAGAACTTTTTGTACTCACATATGGGGCTTTGGTAGCCCAGTTGTGCAAGGACTATGAAAAAGATGAAGATGTCAATGCCTGTTTAGATAGAATGTAAGTACTGATTTAAATGTTCAGTTTTATGTAGAATGCTATTTGTTTACAATGCTTTTTGTTTGTTTTCTCAATTTGCAGCGTTCTGTCTATGGTTACAGAGAAGACAGGGAAAAGGTCCAGTATTCTGTCAACAGAAACGACGCTAATTTGTGAATTAAGATCAACAATTAGCTTTTTAATTCTCTGAGGAAAAGTGTCAGGATTGTTTTCATAGCTTATACTTGTTCCTTGCTGATACTTTAGTTATGCTAATAATTAATATAATCTCCTAAATTTCATATCATTATAGCCCTCATTGGGTTAGGGTCAAATGAGCCTCTCACTTTTAAAAGACCGTACAGCAATGAGTGAGATAGCACAAAGAGAGGAGTTTTGGAAGATGTGGAGACAGATTTTTGTTCCTTATTGTTTTCATTATGGAAGTTGTTTTTATAAAATCTTTTTGTTTTGAGGAAATTTGCAGCATTCTGTCTATGGTTACAGAGAAGACAGGGAAAAGGTCCAGTATTCTGTCAACAGAAACGACGCTAATTTGTGAATTAAGATCAACAATTAGCTTTTTAATTCTCTGAGGAAAAGTGTCAGGATTGTTTTCATAGCTTACAC